TTAGGGTTTTCTTTTTTCGCAGAGGACACTTTCTTTAATAATTTTAATTAAATATTTACAATTTATAAATTCATAGTAAGGGAGGATATAAGATATGATGACATTAGTATATTACCAATTTGCCATTAAAAACATGTGAAAGTAAGGGTTTTTTAGGTAGTTCATTTTGTAATTAAAAATATAAATAAAATATGATGTGTATTAGTGTATTACTAATTTGCCATTAAATTTATGTCAAAATAAGGGTTTTTTAGGCATTATGAATTTTTACAAAAACACTTCTCCTTTTAAAGTAGTATAGATATAGATAGATATAGATATTGATAAAATAGAAAACTCGTTTCCTTAAATGAACTTGCAAACGTTACATAGATATAGACTCGAATAATTAGTTGGGGCATAACTTCGGATACCGTGACTGACTACAAAAAAAAAATAGAGCTAACAGTCATAACTAGGGCTGAGCATGGGACTCGGAGAATTTCGAACCGTTCTGAAAACCGAACCGAAATCACTCCGAACCAAAAAATAACCTTTGACCGTTTGACTTTCTCCGAACGAACCGAACCGAACCAAAAAAATAATTGGTACGGTTCTGGAGATTTCACAAATATCCGTACCGAGAATCGAACCGAACCGTCCCATACCGTACTGAACCGAAAAACCGAATTATAACATTAGATGTGTTATTAATATATTTTATGTCACCTTTGATCCTTTATAATATAGTAATAATAACTATTACCTTTCACTTAACTTTCATGCTTAGTAATATTTGATCTACAATTGACTTTTTTCTATTATAAAATAATTATTTAAACTAATATGAAAGGTTAAAGAATATTTTTTTATAAAAAAATATTATATTTTGTTTGAATTTTAAATTTTCAATATTAGTTGCACATATTTAGTCTTAACTAAAATTTAGAGTTACTTCTAAAGTTGATTTCGAAATAAAATTATTAATATGAGGAAGTATTGATAAATCTTGGTTTTATTAAAGCATATAAAAATTAAATAACTAAAATTTAGAGTTACTTAAAAAATTGATTTGAAAATAAAATTTTCAATATGATGAATTATTGATGAATGTTGTTTTTAAAGCATATAAAAATTTAAATATAACTAGGTAGTCATTCAAAAAAAATCTAAAAAAATAAGAAATCTCCGAAGATCCGAACCAAACCATACCGAAGCGTACTGTCCCAATAGTCCCGAATACCGAACCGAACCGAACGAAAAATATAAATCTCCGAACCGAACCGAACCGACCCGACTTTTTGGTACGGTTTCGGAGATCGAATTTTGAGATCTCCGAACTTTGATACGGTTCCAGAAATTTAACAATTTCCGAATCGTACCGACCCACGCTCACCCCTAGTCATAACACAACAAGCAAAATCCTTCCAACAAATTAATTCCTGCAAATCTAACGATTTTAAAATATCAACAAGTAGAAACAAGGAAATTATCTAATAGATACAAACCAAGGTGTTTGATCACCAACAGTTGAGCACTTCGACAAGTGACAACACCACTCTTATCGTCAAAAGAAAGCACCACAATTTCAACACCAACCAAACCCCAGCACCAGCAGTACTCTAGCTACATATATCACACCTTTGACATTAAATTTATTCAATAACTAATATTCCTTGAATTTATTTCCCTGGAGCCTAGACTCCACAAGGGCCCGAATGTTGTGGACGGAAAAGTCCAGTGTCTGTTTCTCCTTGTTTGTGAAACACACACGAAACCAACCGGGCTCCGAACAATGGAAAGACGAGCCGGTGGACACGTTCAGCCCGAACTCGCGCAACATTTCTCCCAAAGCTCCATCTCGGCCTCAAACGTGAGGGACAAAAGCAGGTGCCTCATGTCCACCCAACAGAAAAGCCCGGCATTGCCCTCGAGACACCTTATCCTGTTAAGTTGTTTTAAAGTGATTCGGAAGCGTCGTTCACTAGTTAATTGTTCAAACACATAAATGGAAAATGAAATCCTAAACATTCTATCAAGATGATTGAGGGTTGATTTTAAGCTAACTGCAACTAAGAATCGAGAACAATGAAGTAAAGATGCAAGCTTTGAGAGAAAGACACAAACTTTGGTTATCCGGATTCACCGAGACTTGAGGAAAATGAAAATAAACTAAGAGAAAATATGCAAGCAACGAGACCCTAAGTAGATTAATCGAGCCTTCTAAACTAAATATATAATCGTGCTTTAACAAAATCAAGATTTTTATAACAAGCTAGACATAGATTTAACTTCTAACACTCAAGCATGCATGAAAGATAAAACAAAATCCAAGAATCGAGCATCAACACAATATTCCGGCCAAGACACCCAACTTGTTGGGCTTTTTTGGGAACGTCGACTAGCATCTGAATCAACAAACGGCCGCCACATCATCTTAAATTTCTGGCCACGCTAGCAAAAAAGTGGTCACGTGCCGACATCGACTCTATTTTACCAAACTAAACAGGCTCGCGATTTATATGCCATTATTCAAAAAATTTGAATTAAATTGCATAAACACAAAAAGTCTATATTTATTTTGCAATTAAGCTACATATATTATATATATCAGGTGCGGTGGTATGTCAATAAAGTGGACGGTGGAGATTCTTACAAGATTTGGGGATAAAGGTTTCACTTTCACAGCTGTTTGAGCCACGTGATAGTTGATAGCTCTCTCTCTCTCCCCCATGTGATTTTCTTCTTCTATTTCTATAAAATTATTGATAGACCCACTCCAATTCCAAAAGCTTTTAACAGCTGGCTTCCATGCATCTTCACCGCCATTATTGGGTTTACTTGAAGAAAATTCTAATAAATTTGAAAATTCTATATATGTTTTTAAACCTTTTGTACTATTATTAATTAATTTACGGAAGATGCTACGTCCCGTTATGAAATCTTTCTGTCGAAATTTTCGTTATGAAATCTTTCTGTCGGAATTGTAACCACTAGATTATTATATAATTGATACGATCCCATTACAGTTGTGGGTCCCATTATGAAACTATTGTTAAGATCCCGTTACCGAATCATTGCGTTGAAATTTATAATTGTTAAATCACCATGTAGCTATTAGAGATAATTGATGTAACAGTTACAAATAAAGTTCCAACCTATCTTTAAATAAAATTATATCTCATCTAAGAAAGGCGATAATGGAGAATAACCCTCAATAATTATCAACAATTTGAAAAAAAAAAAAAAAAATATTAAGAATGGTTCCTCTTTTTTTGAGAAATTGAGCTTTTTTTTTTGCAGATATTTCTGTTCATCTCTTTCAAGACAGTTGCTTCTGTTTGGAAATGAAAAATTTATATTTACAGATCACTGATTAAAAATGTGCTGATGATAAAAATGACATAATTAATAATTGATGAAGAAAAGGGACAGAACAATATAAATATGATTAAGATATGTAGTAATTAAGAGTACAAGAAGGAAAAATGAACACTACAGCAGCCAGTGATCAAAGAATTCGTCAATAATCAAATTCAAACCAATACAGACAACATAAATCAAATCATATTCAAATCGGCCCAACGAGGAAAAAAAAAAAATAACAAACGGTAATAAATACTTCAAAATTAACAGCGTCATCTCTCATCTGTACTCAAACAACATCTAGATCAAAATGGCGGCAGAGAACGCCACTAGGGCGGCGGATCCGGCGGCGGCTACGCTGAATCCGGCAGCTGCACTTGGAGCCGGAGCAGAACCGCCTGGGGAGGCGGCGATCGACGGCGGGGGAGCGGTGGATCCGGACGGTGCTTCGACGGGGGAGGTCGGCGGGGCCGGTGGAGAGGAGTTCGGGGACGAGGCAGGCGGGGTTGCGGAGGACGGAGGAGGCGACGTCGGCGGAGGCGGAGAAGTCGGCGGAGGCGCAACCGGAGCCGCCGTCGGGGACGAACGAGGAGCGGCCGCCGGAGCCTGAGCTAGAGCAGATCCGGCCACCAGCGCGAAGATCAGAACGAGCATAACTGATCGGGGGTACTTCGCCATTGTTCAGTTGATTTTCTGATCTTTTCTGCTTTGGAGCTTTTGTTTTAAAAATATATATATTTTTTCGGCTTTAGAAAGAGAGAGCTACAGAGAGAGAGAGATGGAAGCTATTGGAATATTGGCAATTGCTGTTTTCTGATGTGAGTGTGTACGTATTTATACACAACACAAGGTCGAGCAGAGACAATTATTATTATTATACGCAAATACGCAAATGTTACGGGTCTTGTTGCAAATACGCAAATGTTACGGGTCTTGTTACGAAATCATTCCGTTAACATAATCTTTTTCTTTTTATTATTATTATTATTATTATTATTATTATTATTATTATTATTATTATTACTATTATTATTATTTCGAAGGTATTCTTATTCTATTGGTTACTACTCCCTCCTATTTTCTTTAAATGTCATTCTAGCTCTATCAACTATTTGCTAAATAAATGTCATTTTGGATCTTTTGTACATATTTTTTCATTATTACACTCATTTATCTAATAAATACATTACGTCTTTTCATATTCACTCTTCACTTTTTCTCAAAACATAATCTTTATCTTCCTTAATAAGGTTAATTATTGACAAAAAAAATATGTTTAATTAATGTGCAATTTTTCAAAACGACATCTATTAAAAATAGGAGGTAGTATTATGTATTAACTCTTTTAATGAGGGGGTTCAATGTAATTATGTTAATTAAAGCTACATCGATGATCAAATTGAAGAACCTTTTCTCAATTATATAATTTATATATATATAATTATTAGTTAATAGCATTTAATAAAATTTATTTAATTTATTTATGTGGCAATTTAACTTTTTTTTTCCTAAAAAATCGTTACCTTTGATGTATTTTTAATTTTTTATTTAATTATTAAATAATCAACACTAATCACTTCAAAATTACAAAAATAAATTTAAACTTTTGATTACTGATAGTTCATCATATAATGTGAGTAGATGTTATTATTGTGGTTACATTTAAATTATTTTTTTTAAATAAAAAACGTATTTAAAATTCCTAAATAAATAATTTACAAAAAAATGATGCACCAAAATATATATTACATCCAATCACATAAACACAATTTAAAAAAATAAATAAATATTCTAAGGAGAAAAAATGTATTGCATTAAAATTTCTATAATCCATCTAAAAATAAGTAATGATTAATTGACAACGCATAAACAGAGGAAGTAGGGTTTACTGGCAGCGGTGCGTGTTTTTCGGTTGTAATAGATCACGACCGCAAGAGTTGTCGGGTATTTGATCCGACGGCTGAAATTGATCCAGCTGTGAGATTCTAAGGACCGTTGCAATATTTATTTAAATTTTAAATTTTCAGGTTTTGCCGTTATGAGGGGCACGTTCTATGGGGTTATAGAGAAATTTACACAAAAGTCCTTACAAATCATACATCCTAAGCACTCCTTTTTTTCAAAAATAAAAAATAAAAAAATAAAAAAAAAATGTCAAATTTATTGGTCCAATGACATTGCCTTTTAGGGCATCTTTACTAGTAGCTTTTAGAAAGGTTTATAAAAAAAATATAGTATACCCTTTGTATTTAATATGAAATTTGTGCATTTTATTTCCTCATTTAAAAAATTAGGTGAAACACAATCATATTTAACTAAGTGATAAATTGTTGGTGTATATATTTAAAGTTTGGCTTTAAATGTTATTTACACTGCTTCTGTTGAATGAGATTCGTGTTTAATTAAACAAGTTCGATTATCTGTTGTTTTGAATTTAGATAAAATAATTCGTCACGGTTCACAGATAGACAAAAGATAATTTTATCAGTCTCTTGCGAAACATGAATGATTGGTTCACAACATAAATGAAGATGAACAAACCATCAGAACAGTTACAGTACAACTAGTAGTGACTGATTAGTTGCACTAGTATATTCGTGTATTGATTAAGATTATCTCAGAGATGAGCAGTTCGTTTTATACTGATCGTCTTAAACAGATTAGACGTAATTTTTTTAAAATAGTTAAAATTATGACACAGGCTCGCATCCACTTTTGAATAATGTGAAAAAGTTCATTCGTTTTTCTTTCTTCTTTATGAAATTAAAGTTTTCCCATCCACTTTTGAATAATGTCAAAAAAGTTCATTTTTTTTTTTTTCACGAAATCAAAGTAAATATTTGATAATACTGTGAAATAATACAAAACTTTTATTTTCTAACAACAATTTTAACATTTTGATTGTAAGTACAAAAAACAATATTGTTTTCTATATGTATGAATATGAGTAAAGAATATAATATTTATTATTAGTAAATGATGAGAATCATATTCAACTCATAAAAAAGAAGTTTATTTTTATTATAAATGTATGAAGGTTTTTTATATGAAATATAAAATAAAATAAAATAAAAGTAACTGAAAAACATGTAAGTTCCATTAAAAATTAGATTTTTTAGGTTTGTTTTATTGTTATTGTTAAAATTCTTGAGGGAGAGCTTTGCCGCCCTTGTGGTCCTACCCGGCTCGATTTTGGATTAGTCGATTCCCTTGTGGATCCGAAAACTAGAAGGTCCATGTACCAAAAAAAAAAAAAACTCTCAGTCATGGGATAATTAACACGTTAATCGAGCAAGCCTTTGTGTAGAATGTGCGACAAATGTCTCCCTCGTTTTAAAACCTTTTCAATTCTTTCTAACTTTTCTGATCATTTGTATTTTTGTTTTACTATTTACAAGTTCAATAGTCAAATGAACTAATTGCATTTTTTAAGTCAAGAGTTGCACAAGAAAATATGGCCTAAATTTGAATTGTATGAACAAAAGAATATGCTACACTAATTTTCATTAATCTTTGGCATTCTAAATCCACATGATGGCAAGCATGATTAAATAGGATAAAAGGTGCTATCATTCTTTTATTTTGTATAAGATTATTTATCCAATTTAATTATATATTAGTGAGATTGAATTATATATGCCTCCAATAATTGCTTGTGTGTGTACGTTTGAGTTATTTTAACAACTTGTAGAAAACAACTACGGTAAAGATCTTCTGAACTCTTCCACTTTGTCTCTAGATGGTGTAAAATTATGAATTATAAATTAGTTCTAAAGTGATGAGTTTATATACCTTTTAAACACTAATGATAATCTTTGGCAGAACATCAAATATCGCCTGGAAGATACCGATGGCATAAATGGTGCGGTATTGTCAATTTTTTGATTCTGTCCATCACAAAATTTATATCAATCGTCTGTTAAAGAGATTGTATGGATAACAATATTTGTACTTATAAATAGGAACATGTAGATCACTTTAAAGTTATTGTATTTTTACATAATACAAGATATATAATTGAGAAAATAAAATACTAACATTCTCCTACTTGATCCATATGTTACTATATCCAAAACCATAGAATACAAATATACAAATCATGGTGATATGTCTGTTGGTAATATAAACCAGAAGGATATTAGATCCAATCCAAAAATCCATTCATGTCAAATAATTAAGAATCAATCAAATAAGAGCGAAAGCGTACAATACTTTATGAATTGAACATTCTTTTGTTCTTCAGTTTGTTGAAGTTATGTGTTATTCCAAACGATCTTGTTGGACTGGTATGATCTTCCTAACGTTCGAAACCTTATAACATATTGTGTATACTTATATAGCATGTTTTGGATGTATATTGTTGAAATGAAGTGGGTGGTGCTATAAAGAGAGAAAGCAACTCTTCAAAAATCTGCTCGTATCTTTTCGTCGTTTGGGGTCATAACCAAATAAATAATATTTGTTTGATTTTTATTTCGACCCCTCAACAAATAGAAAATCTCCAAATGGTATCTACACTTTTAAATCCATAACAATTTGATACTCTCTTTATTCAAAACCATAAATTTAGTAGATCACATTAATTGAATTATATTATGACAACTATACACATTTAATTTACATATATTGTCCAAATTAAATATTTCTAACAATCTCTCATTTGGACTATATATGCAGTCCAACAAATGTGTATTACTTTTATGAGCTCAAAATTTGTTGTCACAAACAAGAGTATCATTTACCAATCTCGTCCATTAATTGTAATCACATAGGACTAAAGAGGCCTTCCTCATTTTAAGCATGAATCAGCCCATCGATAATCACATATATCAATACAATGAAATGACATAGATCAATCATGGAAGTGTAGCATGAAAATTACATGTAATGGGATCTTCCATGCCTATTTTCAACTGGCCACTTTATTCCTTAGTGCGATTGATATAAAATTCAAATTACATAGTATAATAAACTGAATACTCTATATCTGATTAGATATTAATACCACTTTCGTGGTCTTTCTACGTTTTCAATAATGTGCAGCCCGGTGACGTTTTCGCAACTATATTCCATTATTGGATGTCTCATAACATGCTACAAAAGTAGATGTCACAACATCTAGCAAAATCAAAATTAATGTACCTAATGATCTCCAAATGATCCGATTTTCTACAAGTGAGCATGTAATCCTTAGTTCTCTACAAGTATCTCATAGCCCATTTGGTTGCTTTCCAATGATCCATATCAGAGTTACTAAAATGTCTATCTCCATACCAACAATAATAGATATAAAAGGTCTTGTAAGACCCGAGCATACACCAGACTCCCACTGAATTTATGATACAAACAATTATCAACAACGCTCGTCTCAAAATTAAATATTACTACAAGATGAAATTTACGCTATCATTGACGAGATGCTTGTTTGAGTCCGTAGATGATTTCTTTAGTTTGCAAACCGTAGACTTTGGATCTCCACAACACAAAGTTTTTCAGTCGCACCATATCGATATTGTTTCATCAATGTCACTATTTAGAAATGTTGTTTGACATCCATCTGATGTAACTCAAGATCAAAATGTGCTACTAATGCTACAGGTATCCTAAAAGAGTCTTTCGAAGATACCGACAAGAAAGTCTCTTGATTATAAAGCCTTTTGCTACAAGACAAGCCTTATATTTTTCCACTTTACCTTTCAGATCCCTTTTAGTTTAAATATCCATTTGCAACTAATGGGTTTCATACCTGCAGGTAATGAGACAAGATCCCAAACTTTATTGTCTTGCATCGGCTTATACTCTTCATTCATGGCATTGATCCACTTTTGAGAATGTGGATCTTGCATGGCTTGACGAAAATTGATAGGATCTATACGTGGAGCCTTGCAGGGGTCCATATCCCAAAAAGCTGCTTTAATTTCCTTTTCATCCACTTCTCTTGTGAGTTCAAAGTCTATTTCTTCTGTGATAGTTCTCTGAATTCCTTGAAGACAGGATGCATCATGGATCGGATGACCAGAGTGATAAATGTTTTCAAAGTGCTATAATAATTCATCAATAATATCCTTATCCCCTGTACATTTTGACCCATTAGCCCTATGAAAATTGGATAAACAGTTGTTATGCCTTCTTTGTCTTTCCCAGGCTTGAAAAAACTTGTTGTTTTTATCTCTTTTTTGAAGCCATTTGACTCTTGACTTCTACTTCCGGTAGGCTTTTTTCAGATTCTGCTGACAAGAAAACCACTCCAACCAATCCCTTTCTCCCCCATGTTGTCCCAAACAACTCAATTTTGCATTATAGATATTGATCATCTTTCCAGAGTTTGTTCTTTGCTGAGCTTTCCAACTAAAGAGGGCCAATTTGACATTCCTCAACTTTCTCTGGAAATTGTACAATAGGGGGCCATGAACATTGGTATTCCACGCTTTGTCTACATATTCATTATAACCATTACGGTAAGGCCACTACTATCAAAATGAAAATTGTGCCCTTCCTTTTTCAACTTTATGTATGTGTCAATGATCAACATTTTGACCCTTCAGCCCTATGCAGATTGGATGATCATAGTGATAAATGTTTTCAAAGTGTTGTAATAACTCATCAACAATATCCTTATCCCCTGTACATTTTGACCCATCAGCCCTATGCAGATTGGATAACAGTTGTTATGCCTTCTTTGTCTTTCACAGGCTTGAAAAACTTGCTGTTTTTATCTCCTTTTTGAAGCCATTTGACTCTTAACTTCTGCTTCCAGTAGGTTTTTTTCAGATCCTGCTGACAAGAAAACCACTCCAACCAATCCCTTTCTCCACCATGTTGTCCCAAACAACTCAGTTTTGCATTATAGATATTGATCATCTTTGCAGAGTTTGTTCTTTGCTGAGCTTTCCAAGTAAGGATGGCCAATTTGACATTCCTTAACTTTCTCTGGAAATTGTACAATAGGGGGCCACGAACATTGGTATTCCACACTTTCTCTACACATTCATTATAACCATTACGGTAAGGTCACTACTATCAAAATGAAAATTGTGCCCTTCCTTTTTCAACTTTCTGTATGTGTCAATGATTAACATGTAGTGGTCTGAGGAAGACATGAAGATGTGCTTCACCAAGGATTTAAGGAAAGTGTGAGCGTGGATCAGTACGGTTTGGAAATTGATAAATCTCCAGAACCGTACCAAAGTTCGAAGTTCCCAGAATTCGATCTCTGGAACCGTACCAAAAAGTCGGTTCGGTCAGGTTCGGAGATTTTTATTTTTCGGTTTGGTTCGGTTCGGTATTCGGGACTATTGGGACGGTACAGTTCAATATGGTTTTGTTCGGATCTTCAGAGATTTCTTATTTTTTTAGATTTTTTTTTTTAATAACTACCTAGTTATATTTTAATTTTTATATATACTTTAACAAAATAACATTCATCAATAATTCATCATATTGAAGATTTTATTTTGAAATCAATTTTATAAGTAACTCCAAATTTTAGTTATTTAATTTTTATATGCTTTAATAAAACCAACATTCATCAATACTTCCTCATATTAAAATTTTTATTTTGAAATCAACTTTAAAAGTAACTCTAAATTTTAGTTAAGACTAAATTTGTGCAACTAATATTAAAAATTTAAAATTCAAACAAAATATAATATTTTTTTCTAAAAAATATTCTTTAACCTTTCATATTATTTTAAATAATTATTTTATAATAAAAAAAATTCAATTTTAGATCAAGTATTACTAAACATGAAAGTTAAGTGAAGGTTAATAGTTATTATTACTATATTATAAAGGATCAAAAGTGACATAAAATATATTAATAACACATCTAATGTTATAATTCGGTTCTTGATTTCGGTTCGTCAGTTCAGTACGGTATCAAGTTTAGCTTCAATAACATCCAAACTCATCCTATTATTGACCCAAGTGTAAATGTGACCTATAAAACCACACTCAAGCATATATATTCATATCAGACACAAAGTTTCTAAAAGGATTGAAACTATTTTCCCTTCTAACCAGTCCCCCTCTCTTGTTTGGATAAAATAGCATTAAAATTCCCACCTAAGTAACAGACAACACCCGACTGAAGCTTATGCCTAAGTATAATAGACCATTAAAACATTCTATCAACAGGGTCAGAACTAGCATATAAGAAAACAACTCACTTCTTCAAGAGTTTGTCGCATTTTTAATGAAACAGTATAGTTGGGAATTATGTTTCGCATCAAGGCGCAATAGTATTCAGGACAACCTTAACAATCATTAAGAAAGTGGAACATTATATCCTAATCCGTCACGAATTAATATAATAACTACACATCTCGATTCCGATCTATGAACTCTAAACACAAAAATGAAAAAGGAAAGAAGTTGAAAAAGAAATAAAAATATGTACTCCAAAATTTTATGCAAAGAACCCGGACCAACTGAGAGAGACCATATCATCCCATGGAGCACCAACCTTTCTGGACAGATCGCCTTTCTCAAACAAATCAATCTGCAACTATAGCATTTTCTTTCTTAATTTGCTATATATTATATGCAGAGTTTAATGCACACAACACCAGCACCTTAAAACTGCTCCTAATGGCACCATCATCTTAAAACACAAAAGGAGCAACTCATAGGAACTGTGCCAACCCTTCCACCATCTTTTGGGGGAGTAAATAGAAATAATTAGAGCAGATTCTCTTGATCCAACCTTAATATATATATATATGTATATATCTATATGATAATAATGGATGGATTTTCTTTCTGACATAAGCAGTCGGGCAAAGGATTCACGTAAAATGCCTCTTCTGTACGAAACCTGTCTTTGCCCTTTGATCCAGGGATGGGACCTTTTCTCTTCCTTGGAGAACCTTGCCTGAAAAACAAAATATTTGAGCATAACAGCATGAACTCTAATGACGCACTATTTAGCACAGCTGCAAATTTGGAAGAACTTGTTCACTTCAATTGCTTATTTTATTTTCTATTTTTTATGCATTTTTACTTTTTTTTTTTAAAAAAA